AGCACCTGTCACATGCACACTCAGCTTTGCTGAATTACGGGCATTCTGTTGAAGATTTCTGGTGAAGTGAAAAGCAAGTGAATCTTACTGTTCAATCATCCACTTTTCACACGCACCATCAGCTCATGGGTACCACAGATAACTTTGCCAAAGATCTCTGACAAAGTTTATACACGTGAAGCTTGCAGCTCCCACTACATCGCTATGACCAAGAAGGGTAAAAGAATAGCAAAGAAACAACACTAACAAAGTTTAGACACATAAATTTTGAAGGTCTAGCTATCATATTATTACCCACAAGGGTAAAGGAACAGCACCACTGCTGGATAATTGGAAAGTCCTTGTGTGTCAACCTCTGTGCTCCGTGGCAAGGTAGAATAGCAAACATGCCCTACCTTTACTCACATTCGAGAAAAACACTCCCAACAAGATTGCTTGCTCCAAAATCGAAGAAGGCACCGTCCTCCGACTCTCGAGAGCCAGACTCTCATCACATGATTACTTTCTCAAAAATCGAAGAGAAGACACCTACTCTCTCATCGAAATCTCGAGAGCCAGACTCCCAGCATGATTGCTCTCTCAATCAAAAATCGAAGAGGCATCGTTCTTCTCCGAATCTCGAGAGCCAGATCCCCGACAGGATTGCTTGTTCGAAAACCGAAGAGGCACCGCTTTCTCAACTTCGAGAGCCAGATCTCCTTGGATAAAGCTTGTCTGTAATCTTCACGCAACATCAGCTTTTCAGATACCACAGACCACTTTTTCAAAGTGCTCTGACACACGTGAAGCTGGCAGCTCCCACTACCGTGCTATGACTAAGCAGGGTAAAGGAATAGCATTACTACTTGTTGTTAGGGAGACTCCTATATATGTCGACCTTCATCCTCAACGGACAGGCAAACCTGCAAAAATGCTCGACCCTTCCTCATATCTGAGAGGGCACTCCCGACGAAGCCTCTCAAAATACTCAGCTTTCTTTCCCCCCGATAATACCTCTGCAACAAGCTACACCAGAGCAAGAATATCTAATATCATCAGGGTTAAAAGCAAGAGTATCCCATATCATGCTTTTTCCTTGTCTTTTCCTTTGGCCTTGTTCTTACCTGCAAGACAAGGAGAAAGAGAGCAATCAGTCAGCATTTGGAATCAAGCTTCCAGTCAGGAACTGACTGCCTGGAACCCCTTACCTGATTACTTACCTGGCATTGCTCTCGAGTACTCATCTTCAACATCTTATGCTTCCAGAGAAGACACCACATCTGCCTAAGAAACCGATAGGGAAAGTGAAAAGGATACAAGGAAACATGTGGAGACAAGCGTAACAGAACACGTGCCGATACATCCACTACTTTGTCAACAGCAAAAGTATCCCATATCAGCACGGTCGAACGTACTCTAGATTTGATGGACTTGTTTTGACCCTCAAATTCTTCAGTCGGCCTTATACTTTGGAGGAAACCAGAAAACCCTCCAGCCCAGTTCAAGAATAAGCCTATGGAAAGTTACTTCTTCAAAAGCAAAAGTAACTCATATCATCTATTCTCCTTTTCTTCTCTTTATCCGCTGCCTGCAAGATAGGGAGAATGAGAACAATCAGCCGGAACTCGAAATCAAACTTCTGATCTGGGACTAATTGCTTGGAGCTCTGATTGCTTACCTTGTTTATCACCTCTTTCAGCAGATCCCCTTGCTCGGCGACTTGGGGGACTCCTACTACATGGTTTGTATCGCGCTTGACCAAGCCTGAAACTACAAGTAAGCTTCAAGTGAAATTGATACATTACCTTGTGCATCTCCACCAGTTAAAGATACCACCCCTGGATGGAGGAAGAGTACTTAGAAGTTTCGTGATTACGAGATCATTCTCCCACAATATTTCCTAATGTCACTTGTACTCAATCATTCATTTGTACTCACTAAAGGAGAGCTTGAACCTATGTACTTGTGTAAACCCTTCACAATTAATGAGAACTCATTTACTCCGTGGACGTAGCCAATCTGGGTGAACCACGTACATCTTATGTTTGCTTTCCTGTCTCTATCCATTTACATACTTATCCACACTAATGACCAGAGCAATAACTTAATACTTTCTGTTGTACCAAAGTCCTCACTGATTTTGTGCATCAACAATCCTTAAGTCCTTAACCTTTTGCGTTGGTAATGGATGAGTTAACAGGACATATTCAAGATGATATTTCTTGGTGTATGCTTCTCGCAAATGATATAGTGTTGATAGATGAAACTCAGGAGGGGTAAATGCGAAGCTTAACCTTTGGAGAGAAGTGTTGGAATCTAAAGGTCTTCGCCTAAGCCGATCAAAGACAGAATATATGGAGTGCAAGTTCAGTGCAAATGGAGGCCAAAATGAGTTAGAGGCGAGGATCGGAGATCAGGTAATACCAAAGAGCGACCGTTTTCGCTACCTAGGATCTATCTTGCAAAAGAACGGAGAATTAGATGAAGATCTCAACCATAGAATACAAGCTGGATGGATGAAGTGGAATAGTGCATCCGGCATGTTGTGTGACCATCGTAGGCCACTGAAGCTTAAGAGAAAATTTTATAGAACGGCAATAAGGCCGGCGATGCTGTATGGCACAGAATGTTGGGCGGTGAAGCATCAACACGTACACAAAATGGGTTGGACATGTGCAAAGAAGGCCTACTGACGCTCCGGTTCGAAGATGTGACTACGGGATAGAGGTTCAGGGCCGAAGGGGTAGAGGAAGACCTAGGAAAACTTTGGAAGAGACCCTAAGAAAAGACTTAGAGTACTTGGATCTAACGGAGGACATGACACAAAACCGAGCGCAATGGCATTCTAGGATTCATATAGCCGACCCCACTTAGTGAGAAAAGGCTTTGTTGTTGTTGTTGTTGTTGTACTTATACATTATAATCTTTGTCATGTTACAGCTTCTCAGTTTCATTATAAGTTTCTTGTGGTCTCGTAGCAGTTTCCTTTATTCTTTCCATACAAGATCAGAGAAAAAGTAACAAAAAATTGTGACTAAAACTGCCCTCAAAACACATACAATTGATAGAGTCTGTCCTTTCTCAGGGACAAGTAACATAATTGAACTAGCGGAATGAATAAAACTTTTCTAAAGAGTGCAGATGGATATTCTCCAACACCAGAATCAACTCAATTCGGTGGTAAACAGGTATTGCACCCTTCTGGATTCAAAGGTGCAATAAGCTAGAAGCTACATCGCACTTTTTTAACTTCCACTAATAAGAAATCAATGTAATTAAGTTTCTGACCCTTATTCAGCGTTATTGTTGCAAAAAGATTTTCTGGTACTGGTGCCTGAATCCTTATTACACAGCTCTATGGTTAATTTCAGTTTCAAGCAGCTGCAAGGACTAATTTGTGCTAATCTTGAAGGAATCAAAGCATGTTCCTGTTCTTTTGAATCATAACTTTTTCTGGGTTATGGAACAAATATAATTTCCACGTTATTATTTTTTTCAAAAAAAAAAATTCTACGTTATTATTATTTACAGAAGGGAAGGGGGGACGCTAACGCATTTTCCTTCAAAAATCCTGCCATGTTCCAAAAAATTGATTGTATACAGGAAGGATTAAAATTTCAGGATTCAAAAGTTTTTACCAAATGGCGGCTTCAGGCTCTTCCACCCCGGGCTAAGCAGAAATTGTTACTACCCACTACAGGCAATAATACATCAAACATTACCAACTTCATAAGATGTGAGTCAAGATGTTATTCTAATAAATAAAACTAAAGCGACAAAAACAAAGAGGAAACTTCAGTGAAACGATTACCAGCGGAACCCTATTCACACTCTTCTCTATTCACATTTTCGGTAAACATATAATTATATCAAATTAGATTATATAATTCTTGTTAAGCTACTAAGCTTCAACTTTAGTGATAAATACCGCGTCTGAGACTCCTTCTCTTCAAACAATTGCCTGCCGGAACCAGCGCGAGGACCAAATTCGAAACCTATCAACATTTAATTTACAATTAGCTAAATTCTTAATGCTTAAAGATTTAGTTTCCTTTTCTAGTAGCGCTAATCCACCTAAAATGTAAAGAATTTAAGGAAGCAATAGGCATGATAATCTATCTGATCATAATTAACTACCGTTTGGTACCTGAAATATCAAAGGAAAATTTTTCAATTTACTTCTTGTTCTTGTAATCTCAGTTTTTCAACTCCCAAAGAACTAAATGCACACACATGAATATAGAATGCATACAAATACAAGGACGGAGCTACCATGGGCCTAGGGGGGCGGATGCCCCCATTGAGATTTTTCTGACGCTGGGATGCTGCTCAAATTGAGCTGGGTTTGCAGCAGCAAAGCCCCCACTGAACTCATCTGGTTCTGCTCTCCGACCTGGTTCTGCAGAAGCAGAGCTGGGTCTTATATTTTTTTTTTTTTAAATCCAGGCCAAAACGACGTCGTTTTGGTCCTGGTACAAAAAAAAATAAATGAAACAGCGTCGTTTCGTATATGTTAACAAAAAAGAAAGTATGTTAAAGGTGGACTGTGGGGACAAGCGGTCCCCCCTTTAATCTCTAACCCCATTCCCTGATTCCTTCCCATCTCTCTGTTCCTTTTTATTTCCCTTGCCAAACAGAGAGCAGCGTGGTGCTACTCTCTTTCCCCAAATTCCCAACATCTTGAAACTGAACAGAACAGGAGCAAGGTGTTGTTCCCAGCCACGCCAACAGTTAGCCACTCCAGCCAGCTACTCTCTAGCCGACATATATATATTTATGGTAAAATTCTTAATTCCTAAATCTATAATCCCTAACCCTAATTAATTATTTAAGACGTTGGGAAAGGCAAAAATCAAGAAACTACTTTGAAACGTGCTGGAGAAACACGTTGGGGTTCACACTTTGGTACTTTAGTAAGTATCATGACTATGTTTTCATCCATACTTGATGTACTTGAAGTAATAGCAGATGATGGAGTAAGCTCTCAACAAAGATGTGAAGCAAATAATTTATTGGATTCCATGCAATCATTTAATTTTGTGTTTAATCTACACTTGATGAAAGATATACTAGGAATAACCAATGAATTGTCACAAGCATTGCAAAGGAAGGATCAGGATATTGTAAATGCAATGAAGTTGGTTGGAGTTTGTAAGCAAAGGTTGGAGATAATGAGGAAAAGTGGTTGGGATTCTTTTACTTAGTGAAGTCTCAGAATTTTGTCTTAAACATGATATTGATGTGCCTAATATGGATGATATGTTTCTTTCTCGAAGGCGAGGGCAACGAAAAGCACAAGCAGTCATAAATATGCATCATTATTGTGTTGGGATATTTTATGTTGTTTTGGATTGGCAGCTTCAAGAACTAAATAATCGTTTCAATGAGAGACCAACACTGAGTTACTTCTTTGTTTGGCATGTTTATATGTCCAGCCGACTCCTTCTCTGCTTTTGATAGCCAAAAGCTATTGCGTCTTGCCCAGTTTTATCCTAAAGACTTCTCTATGAATGAGCTGGTGATACTTAAGATTCAACTTGAGACTTACATTATGGATATGCGGTCTAGCATTGAGTTTTCAAGTTTAAAAGAGATTGGAGATCTTGCAAAAAACATGGTTCAATGCAAAAAACACAAGGTGTATTCGCTGGTTTACTTGTTTGTGACATTAGCACTAACTCTTCCAGTTGCTACTGCAACCGTTGAAAAAGCATTTTCGGCCATGAAAAATTCTGAAGAATCGATTGAGAAATCGAATGGGAGATCAATGGATGAATGATAACATGGTTATTTTTATAGAGAGAGAGAGATATTTAATGGTATTGGTAATGATGTTGTCATGCAACGCTTTCAGAACATGAAAACACGTCGAGGGATATTGTAAGGGACTGTTGTATGAAAAACTTTTTGGATTAATATATAAGTATTGTGTTTAGTAAATTCTTGAGCTTTTTAATTATGACTTTGTTGTTTGAGGATGACCCCATTCACACACAGTTCTGGCTTCGTCCCTGTACAAATATGTATGTATGTGTGTGTGTGTGTGTGTGTGTGTGTGTGTGTGTGTGTATGACAGATGAGGAGACGGGGACCTGGAGGGTAGGAACTGTGAAGGCCGCCTCTAGCGGTGGCAGGACGAAGAAAAGAGGAGAAGCCTGAGAGAGAGGAACAGGATGGAAAGAGCAAGCTTCATGATGTGATCTTTGGATTGACGATGGTGGCGATGGAGCTCCAGAATCGAATTCAGGAAGCCATTGTTGGAACTTGGAAGGAGTAAAAGAAGATGAAAACGTAACGACGAAGATTGGAGATGCTGGATCTCGGGGGAAAATGGGCTGCAAATTCCATTGGAAGCGAAGTAACGGGGACTTCGAGATATGGGTTGCATATGAATCTCGGCCCATTTTTCAAACCGCCCGAACCAAACTAAATTCTATAGGTTGATTTTTTTTTTTTAATAAACAACAATATTTTACATTATAGGGCTTCAATTGGCATAACAAGATTTAAAGTTTCTAATTTTTTTTTCATTGCTCATTTTTTGTTTTTCTTGTTCATTGACTACTGTTTTTGTTTGCAAAACCCATTTTTCGGTAAATGAATATGACTCAACAACTTAAACTGAGTTAATGGGGACTGTAAGATCAAATCAAATTGTCAAATATGTGTTGACACTAAGTCATATATTTGACCGCAGTGAGTTCATGTAGTTACGAATAAAAATTGTATCTTGTAATTGATAAACCTAATAATTCTACAGGTTATCCACGTCAGCAATCCTTGTCAACTCAGCAACCACAGTCCGCAATATATGGTTCTCACTCAACCACTCCAACACAGAGTTTGGATAACACACAATGTCCTCAACAGATTGAGAAGGATCATAGTCCTCCTTAAACATGACTCTATCATCATAGTGTACCTTAGCTTTCTGTTATGTATTTTTGTAATTTGAATTCGATTGTAATTCTGATACCAGATTCATTGTAATCTTGTAAAGCCTATATAATGAAGTACATGACTCACTCATAATTAATTGAGTTGAGCTTATGCAATTGATTATTTCAACCCTAGCTTGAATTCTTTCATGGTATCTCAGAGCTAAAGTCTCACCACAAAACAAATTTTTTTTTTTTCATGGCGTCCTCTTCTTCTCCCTTACCTAATGCCTCCAATTTTCTCACCCTTAAACTTGATCGTACCAACTACCCTCTCTGGCAAGTTCAGATGCTTCCTCTTCTCCGCAGTCGCAATCTTGTCTCTTTTGTCGATGGCACCAGTCAATGCCCCCCAGCATTTCTGCAAGATGCAGATGGCAACATCACTGACAAAGTCAATCCTGACTTCGAAACCTGGATTCAACAGGATGCTACATTTCTGTCCTGGATTAATTCTTTTGTTCACCCCACTGTCCTTGCTGCTTTAATTGGGAAAACCAGTTCTCACTCTGCTTAGACAACCTTCCGTGACCGCTATGCCTCTCAGTCAACCGGCCGTCTTCTTCAGCTTCACAGTGAGTTGATGAATACTCACAGAGGTGATTCCTCCATTTCTGAATTTTTAGATAAAATCAATTGTCTAGCAGAGACTCTCTCTCTCTGGTGCTCCTGTTTCAGACTCCGACATTGTCGCCATCATCCTTAACAATGTTGGTCCTGTTTATGAGAGCATGGTTGCCTCCGCTCAAGCTCGTGACGAGGCCATCACCTACAGTGCTTTGGAAGCACTCCTCATTGGCGCTGAAAGAAGACAGAAATTGCGTTTTGCTTTTACTACTGACACCGACCCAACTGCCTTTGCTGCAGTTCACAATGGTGGTCGTTCATCTCTCCCAGTTTTTGCGGTCGTGGCTCATCTTCTACATTCCGAGGTCGCAACAGTCCCACTGGTGGTCGTTGGTCCTCTTCTCGGCCATGCAACTCCCCAGGTTCTCATCATGGATCTCACCAACATTCTCACTCTCGCCAACCTGATGGTCTTCTTGGTCAATCTCCAAGTTCTTTTCCTACTGGTCGGATCCAATGCCAAATTTGTAACATACATGGTCATTCGGCAATCGGCTATTTCAACCGTCTCAACCTGTCTTATGAAGGGCGTGTTCCAGCGCCAAAACTTCAAGCCTATACTGCTGGTGTTCCCCCTGCCTCTGCTAGTGCTCCAGCTCTCCAGAATTGGCTTTTCGACTCTGGTGCCAATGCCCACATCACCAATAATCCAGCTCAGGTGTTTAATCCTTGTCCTTACCATGGTACTGACCAAGTCAATGGTGTAGTAGGTGGAACAGGTTTGCACATCTCTCATATTGGAAACTCTTGCATTCGCACACCCAAAGCCATTTTTAAATTACCCAACACACTATTTTGCCCTACTGCATCCACCAATGTCATATCCATTCATAAATGTACCACTGACAACAACTGTTCCCTAACCTTATATCCAAATTCCTATGGTGTTCAGGATCTTCACATGGGGAAGACACTTTTCCAAGGCCCGAGTAGAGATGATTTCTACCCTTTTTCCAGTATTTCATCATGCAATAAAGGAGTCTCTACATTCATAGGTGCTAGGGTGTCCAATCATGTTTGGCACTCTAGATTAGGTCATCCATCAACTCATGTTTTGAATTCTTTAATTTTCAAGAATAAGTTACCCGTGAATGGTGTTGTAACTAGTGACTTTTGTCACTCCTGTCCACTCGGCAAGAGTCACAAGTTACCCTTTACTTTGTCTAGTTCTAGGTCAACTTTTCCTTTACAATTAATTCATTCGGGTGTATGGACTTCTCCCTATGTTTCAATCAATGGATTTAAGTATTATGTAGTATTTATTGATGACTTTTCTAGATACTCCTGGTTATATCCATTAAAACTAAAATCAGATGTTTTTTCTACCTTTGTAAATTTTAAAAAATTAGTTGAAAACATGTTTAGCACCACAATCAAATCCTTTCAAACCGATGGTGGCAGTGAATATATTAATAATAATTTCAAAACTTTTTTTACTTATCATGGTATATATCATCGTTTCACATGTCCTCATCATCCCAAACAAAATGGTATTTCAGAATGTAAACATCGTCATATTGTTGAAACCGATCTTACTCTTCTTGCTCACGCATCTTTACCCACTTCCTTTTGGGATGATGCTTTTCATACTGCAACTTATTTAATCAATCAGTTACCCACTAAGGTCTTGAATGATGAGTCCCCATTTCAAAAACTCTTTCTCAAAACTCCTCATTATGATATTCTTAAAATATTTGGCTGTGCATGTTTCCCATATCTTAAGCCATACAACTCCAATAAATTACAGTTCCGTTCTACCCGTTGTGTCTTTCTTGGTTACTCATTAAATCAACAAGGTTAGAGCAACTTCACCCTTGGAGCCCTTCCCCCTGGCAATCCACTATTGAATCCACCATATTGAACAGTAACTGCCTTTAATGAATAGTAACTACCTTTAATGAACAGTAATTATCTTTTGCATCTCCACACTTGGAACTCTCCCCCTGACAATAAGTAATAAAATATTAGTTTTTTTTGTTTGTTTAAATAATATAAAATAAAAAAACATGGAAATGGGGCTGCAGGCCCTCGGGCTGACACAAAAAAAATAAAAAAAATGCTTAGCCCTCGGGCTGCAGGCCTGTCAATTCCCCACCCCCCTTGTGCTCGGGCTCTCTAAGGCTGGAGGGTTGTCCACCTGGCCTCGGGCCCTTTCCTGGTGCCTGTCCCCCGAGCAATCCACAAGGATGGACTTGCTCTTATAAGTGTCTAGATATGTCTACCGGTCCCGTCTTCTTGTCACGTCATGTTGTCTTTGATGAAACTACTTTTCCCTATAAAGAAACCACCTCTACTCCGTTTTCTTCTTCTCCCTCCTTACCTAACATCATAATTAATATTGACCCCCCCCATGCCCACTTTTCAACCCATGTCGCGTCTTCTTGTCACGTCATGTTGTGAAACTATTTTTTCCTATAAAGAAACCACCTCTACTCCGTTTTCTTCTTCTCCCTCCTCACCTAACATCATAATTATTATTGACCCCCACCATGCCCACTTTTCAACCCATTTCCCCGACATCACCTACACCTATCTCTTCCATCCCTAATGCTACCCCATGTCCTACGCCTACACCACTTCCATCACCTATACCCATTTCTGCCACCCCTATTTCACCTCCATCACATCTTCCTGCCAAAACACTTCCCACTCCACCCGTCCCTTCTGCCAACCCCACGCCGTCCTCCTTCAATCCTCCAGCTAATAATTCACCCTTAGATCCCCTAGTATCTCTCCACCCTGCGACTGCAAGTACATCCACTACCAAAAGAAGATTTAAAGTTTCAAATTCTTTTTATAAATCTAAAACATTGATCTTCTATCTTTTTACTTGTTCACTCAGTTACTGTCTGCAATACCCGATTACAACAACTGTTTTCTTCGATGGCATTGACTTTGAGCACCAATAGAGCCTCGGCATCTTTTCTTTTCAATGAATCAGCTCCTCGATGGAAGTATGATGTGTTTTTGAGTTTCAGGGGTGTAGACACCCGCAAGGGTTTTGTATCCCATTTACACCATGAATTGTCCAAGTGCCAAGGAATTACGACTTTCATGGACGATCGAGAGCTTCAAGGAGGAGCAAGTATTCATGTTGAGCTACCAAGTGCGATCAAAGAATCGCATATTGCAATTGTTGTTCTCTCACCAAACTATGCTTCTTCCAAATGGTGCTTGGATGAACTCACAACCATTCTTCAATGCATGGAAGCCAGGAACTCAGTTCTCTGCCGGTCTTTTATCAGACAGATCCATCTGACGTCGGAAATCAACGGGGATGTTTTGCCGAAGCCTTCGCGGAGCATGAAGAAAAGTTGATCAGTATCGAAGGCAAAAAGAAGGTGCTCCAATGGAAAGCTGATCTAAAGCGAGTGTCCAAAATTTGTGGTTGGACTTCGAAGGAATCTAAGTAAGCATGAACAACTTTAATTTCCCATGTCTTAGTAGAGTCAAAATTGAATGCTTCGTTTATGTTTTTTCAATGGTTATTTTATACCATGTAGGTGTGAAAGTGAGCTTATACAAAAAATCGTTAAAAGTGTGTGGAGGAAAGTGCAAGCTACACTCCCGTTGTTAGATTCCTCACAAAAATTAGTTGGGGTTAATTTTGGGCTTGGGCAACTAAGTTCTCTATTAGCTCATGATGTCAATGATGTACGCTTTATAGGGATAACGGGGATGGGTGGCATAGGTAAGACAACCCTTGCTAAGCTTGTTTATGATAGAATCTTTCATCATTTTGAAGTTCACTGCTTTCTCGGCAACCTTAGAGAGGTTTCTAATGTTGATCTTCAAAAAAGACTTCTTTTCCCGGTGTTGAGGGAAAAGATTGAAGAAATT